TTCTAATTTCCTGTCTCAGTTTAATAACAGAGTAATTCTCATGGCTTACTCAGACAGAAGGTTGGAACTATGCTAAATATTTTCTTTTGTCAACGTCCCCTTCTAGATAGCAAGTAAATTCTGTCAATAATAATTTTTCCTGTTTATCCTATTTTTTGTTGTACTAACTACTCTTTTTAAACCTTAATAGTGCTACCAGGCTGCTGTATTAATCTCCCAATTCTCTGTATTCCCAAAGATTCCATTTCAATCCATCAGCTATACAACAAGAAAGATATTTTTATACAGTAAAGTAAGTCAAACTTCAAATTCTTCAAGAGTTTTTCAGTATTTTAAAGCTTATTCATAACACAGACATAGACGCTCCTTAGTTTCATACTTATGTCAAAGATCACTCTTTGCAATACCCCTCACCAGATGTGTAGTTCATTCAGTTGTAAACTTGTCTACTGTGTTGTGTTACTAAAAGTAATAATTATTAGTCATTTGTTATTTTATTTGTGTATTCTGTTCAATAAATGGACATTGATTGCTGTATTTTTGATTGATACTGAACATACTGTGACAAGTTTAACCAACAAGGCCTACTCATCTAAAGGTCTTACATTGTGACATCTTAGCCAAATCATGTTCAGGAAAGCTACTAAGGGAGTGAATGTGCTCATAATGCAGAGAACATGGCTTCTTCAAAGAAATGAAGCCACATCTGTGTGCCTGAAGTCATTTGAGCAGATGCAGTGAACATGAACAGAGGCTGTATAGATAGAAGAGTAGAAACCAAGAGCTGGGTATCAGAATCATGGCCACTTTTTTCTCTAACAACCTAGGAAAGCTTTGAGTAGTTTTGTGTCCAGTGTCTTCTACGTCCCATGCATACTGAGACATAAGTCAGTCATTATCGATACTTCCCTCTCCCTGACAGATCCCATCTGACTCATCACCACATCTGCATGGAGTCATCTCCTATTTTCTTGAGCTCCTCCACATCACAGCTTCTTCACCGACACTATTTTGCCCTGGTTTGTTTATCTCTTGCAAGTGCTCCTGTGCAGGCTTTCACTTTCCTCTGGCCTCTCCATCAACCTGTCGGAGGTTTAAAATGTAAAACAGTGTTCACTTTCATTCTACTGCTTAAGCACTTTGATTCAGGTTTGGGAAGCAAAGTTTTAGGATAACCTGTGAGATCCTGTAAGATTACTTTTCTCCTGGACTTCTATGGATTCTCACTTACAGCTACTTTGGCTTTCCTCTGTGGCCAGAGCATGGTAGCACTATTACAAATGTCACACACTCAGCTTTAAATGTCTCCTCTTCATCATCTTTGAGATTTTTGCCCCATTCTGCCAAGTTCTTTCTTTTACCTGCCACATATCAGCACAAGTATTACTTCTTTTAAAATATCCTTGGTCACTTGTGCTGGCAAGATACAATTGTAATAGGTTATAAAAAAGAATCACTGTTTTTCCTTTCTGAACATTTCTTTTGAAACAGAACGTTGTATTCATAAATGATTGGTTGTGATTTGTTTTCCACTTTGGGGAAGTTCAAAATGAGCAGAATATAGCATCCACCACTGCCTATGGAGCATGAAAATACTCATCATGAAATTTATTAATGAATGGATAACATGATAAAACTCTGAATGATCCACACTTTAGACATTCTACCAAACATTTACTTTGAAGACATTGTAGGAGATGAATTATTCTCAATTTTGTTTCTAGTGATTTATATTTAGGTTAATGCGTTCTCCACCCATGTTGCCAAACTATATTGACAATAGGAAAAGCCAGATAGATGGCTTCCCTTTCACTTTATCTGAATCTGGAAGTGGGCTAACAATGGATTTGGATTTCCCAAGGTAGCCTAGGACTCATATAAGCCAACTAAGCCCAAGATGCTGTCAAGTGTTGTCTTAGTGCTTAAGACAGAATTACCTATATAGTACTTTAAAATCAATCTTATGACTCTACAAAGTGCAAGCCAATCTATAGCAAAAGCAAATGGATTACAAGTGACAAGAGAAAACTTTTAGGCACAATGAATATGTTCAGTATCTTACATGACAAGTTTTGTGGGTAGACACTTATTAAAATTCCTCAAATGCATACTTCAAATTTTTATGGTTATAATACATCAGTCTTGATCCAATAAACATAAAATTACTTTTTCACCATGAGATACAGATTTAATCTACCATTTAACTGTAGTGTCAATTTGAACCAATAAGGTATTGGCTGTACCTCCAAGTCTTTCTCACAATATTCATTAGCTTTTGAAAATGGGCACTTACCCATGAAGCACCACCAATGTCCCTCAGGAAAATCCCATAAGGGGTAGTCAAAGGCAAATTGGAAATGATGCTGTAATGAAGCCTGGGTCTTTTAAGGTAATAGATGTAGATCCCCCATTAATGCACATGTATGACAACTGGAATTTACCTCAGTGCTTGCTCTCTGATGTATAGGAAGATATCAGTTTCAAACAGGCCCTCTGACTGAGACACAGCCACCAATAAGCTGCTGTTTCCTTGTTTCTCTCATGTCTAACTACTCACCTGCCTGGCCTCAATTGAATTGCCTTTCCTTCTCCTTTACTTTCTATCAGGATATGGCTCCAATACTGTTGCCTCTGAGAAGACCTCCCAGATCTCTCCAGGGAGCACAAGGAATGTTCTTCCATCTCTCATATTGCCATGAATGGCCTCATGATTACACTGTGCTGTGTGTGACCGGTTGGTAAGATACTCACTTAGCCTTTGTGTGGAGACTGAGCCACTTGAAAACAACATTGAACTTGAAGTGATATTTGCTTTGCACTCGTAATGCATTTACCTTAAGGAAAGTTTCTATGGTTTCCATTTTTTCCTTAATGATGGATGTGAGAAGCAGTTACTGGAGAAGTATTTGCTAGTAGAGTCTGTTTTTATTGCTCACAACTGGGCCAGGAACACTGACCAAAGTAATCACAATTCCTATCTCATGAGATTAAATTTCTATTTTTAAAATGTTTTTGGATTTATTTCTTTTATTTTAAAAATGATTTCTTTTATTTTTTTTGAGATTATATTGCATTTACATGATTTCCCCTCCCATTTCCTCCATCCAAACCTCCCATCTACCCATCCTTGCTTTCTTGAAAATTCATGACCTTTTTTCATTAAAGATTGTTACATTCATGTATGTGTGCATATATACATATATATTCATAAATATAAATATTCAACATTCTAATGAAGAAATGAAATAAATTGAGTTAAAACAGCATGTTAAGAGATGGACATGATGGAATGAAATGAATAATCCCAAATGGGAAATACTCTCCAGGAGATGGGATTTTAAATCCAAGAACCTATGGCTATCTTTCTGAGAAGGTTATATTGGAGAAAGGATTTAATGAAAGGAAAGCACAACTACATGGCTATGTTGTATGGGAAAATGTTAAATAAGGGAAAAAGAAATTCCAAGCCTGAAAAAGAACATTCTAGAAATACTTGAAGGTTGCCTCAATATGCTTGGAGAGAAAAAAAATGAAAGGTTGAGATATAGCAGAAGGGGTGGCAGGTGAGCAGCTTCGGTGGGATTAACCACCACCATAAGGTAACTAAAATATAGCTTTTTCTCAGAAGAAAAGATGGGCAGTGGTCAAAGGAATTGATACAATTTGAATTCTATTTAAGTAGAAGCCCTCCTTCCTCTGCCCAGCACTTCCATGAAGGGCATGGTGCTGATCCCCACAAACTGTGGAGTCAAGGTAGGAACTTGTGAGGTCAGAATAGCAGTGGTGTGAACCATGCCCACCAGTGTCACAGATGCTATGCTTGGAGTTACACATGCTTCTTTGGGGTTCACTCAGTCTCTCTTCCTGCTTTTTGGCATCCTGTGCTTGAACCCAGGTGAGCACAGGGAGTCTCTTACCTCTCTTCCATCACACTGGATTATGAAGTTTCATTGAGGCCACAAGATTATAAAAGCAAAGCACTATTCATATGAAAGAAAGCTTTGTTTTTCAAAATGAATATATTTGCTGCCTGAATATGTGGATCTTATTGGAGAGTGGGGTAGATAACACCAGAGGCAGAAAAGAGAAAATGTTCTGTAAAGAACTGAGAATTTCCAGAGTTCTTGAGCAGGACCTGCTTAGCCCTACTCCCCATCCAGTGTTGACATTGTACCTGTTCCCATTTCCAGTCCTACCCTGAAAGAGTCACTTCAAGATGGATGACAGAAGTGAGTGGCTTGCATGGGTACGTCATTGATTGTTGTAGTAAAATTACTGCACAGGTACAAATTAGTGAATTAAAGTCTAAAAGGGGCTAAGGATACACCTCAGTGGCTATGAGTGCTTGGTGCGCAATGGTAAGGACCTGAGTTTGGAGCCCAGCACCCAAGTAGCAAGCTGGGTGTGGTCTTGCCCAGGCCTGTAACCCCAGCATTTGGAGGGAAACACAAAAGGTTCATATGGGCTTGTTGATTGTCAAGCAGCCAAAACACTCAAATTCCAGGTTCAAGGAGACATCCTGTCTCAAAGAAATAAAGCAGAGAATGCTAAAAATTGGGAAGACTGATGCATACTCTTCTGGTCTCCATGCAACGGGCGGCTCTTGGTGCCCACAGAGGTGTATATGTACTCTGGCTCTCACTTTGCTCCTGTTCTCCATACCCCGCTTCCCTCCCTTCCCCCCTTTCCCCCTCTGTGTCTTTGTCTCTCTCTCTCTCTTTTACACACACACACACACACACACACACACACACACAGTGGAAGAATACTTGCCTAGAGTGTGAAAGACTGTGTTTAATTCACAGTACTACAAACAACACCCGCCCCCACCCCCCCACCCCCCCCACCCCCCCAAAAAAAAACCCTGAAAGAGATTTTAAGAGCACAATTGGTATAGAAACCATTCTAATTGTCAGATGCTGAGTTTAATAGATATCTTAGGTTACTTGGTTAGGAAGGATGGGGTATTTGAAAAATTACATCTTTCTCCAAAAAGTGCAAAGAGTGGGCCATCCCAATTCACTGTAAAATGCAACATTGATTTTCATTTTCCACTGATAAATAAAACCATCAAGACAGACAAGTACTGGTTATTGAAAATACAATGGCTGCGTTCAGGGTGGGACTGGATTAGCAGCAATGCTGGAGAAAGACAGGACCCAGGGGCAAATCTGGTGGACTGAACAGTGGAAACAGAATGGCTTTGTATTCTAGACCTGTCATGGTCACCTTGCTCCACAACTTCAGTCTTGTCCTCCTGAACGTATTAGGTAGTTTTGGGAGAATATGTCTGTCAAGTGGGCTGCGATGGCTGCTGAGGACTCAGCTCTGTGCACTGAGGTGGTAGTGGGAAAGGGCTGCACTCTTCAGTCTTGGCACTCTTCCCTCCTCAACACTCTGTTATTCTAGCAGAACAATGACCACGGATGAGAACCAGACATTTGAATGAAAAGAGGGAGACCAGTCGATCAGTTTTGAGTTCACAAACACAGGGCATGAGGCTCAGATATTTTGAATGGAAAACTTAAAAATAATGTGTAAAATATTGAAACCTCACATATGTTTAGAAATTAAGAACTTAGTTTTTGGAGCAAGAATTAAATTCTCTTTTTACTACATACTGGCTTTTTAATGTTAAATGTGTTACTTTATCTTTTAGAATATGTTCCCATACATGTATATTGTATATATAAAGAAGCCTTGAATTTGCTTATGTACATTTATATATGTAATATGTAATCTCATTTTTTGCTTCATTACAAAATTGAAGATGCCAGGGAAAATTGCCAGGAACAACAAAAATCTCTGTAAAGTCAAGTATGTAATTCTATAACTCTAAGAGGACGCCGTTTCCCGGCTTTGTGGAAAGAGGAATGAAAGGTCAAAAAGCTCGAATTATATTTGAAAACGGGGATACGTTCCCAGTAACTTGCTGGGAGCTGCCTTGAGGTCTCTGGTTCTGGACGACTTTGGGAAACAGAACTGGATGTTCAGGATCTGGCTGTCCTTGCTTTGTCCTGCTGCCAGATGGGTGTGCCCTTCAAAACACAGATAGAGAGAAGTGAGCAATTGGCATTCCAATTTTACAAATAGAGTGACGACTTTCTACATCTCATGTTAAAGCAAGAGAGGACTTACGATAAAATCAACTGTCAAACAGTTTTGAGAAAATAATTAAGCACGATAACAGAAACAAACAAACAAAGAAAAAACCCCTCAAGGTAGATAAGCAAAAGCTCAGCACCAAGGGTGAGGATGGGATGCATGCAGAATAAACTTCAGGATGAACAGAGACATCACTGTCTCTGTGACCTGCATGCTTGGCAGATGGAAAAGACACAGCCATCACATACATCTTATGATTGGAGGAGAGCAAGCTGACCTGAGAAGAGGCGATAGTGTGCCCAACTTTAATTATTAAACTAGCTAATTTAATTAGTTGCATCAGAATGTTCCATTTAATTTTGTTATTTTTAGGCATGATATAGTAAATCTAAGCACAAGACTTTGTGTGTCCAAAATATGTATTTTTCTTAACCCAAGTAATGTGCATAAAAATTAAAAATTAATAAAGGACATTCTCATCCACTACTTCATCTGAAGATCTTAATTATCTAATGAGGTTTATCATTTGTTTTTGAGAAACTGCAGTTTATAGCCAATTATGTCCAATGACTTAAGATATAAGAGGGGACAAATTGATTCTAAGTGGCTTCAAGTAATTCGGGGCAATAAGAGTTACAAGTTTTTGGAAACCTTGTGTCTAGCAGAAGTCACATCAGTGTGGAGGAGCCGAGGTTGAGGGGATCTCAGCTTAATCAGGTGTTCAATTGCTGGAGCATCATCCTTTTTCTGATCTCTATACTGCTTTCTCTCCATCCCCTGATACTGGGTGTAGACAGCTCACCTTCTTTGTAAAGCCCTCGTCACACTCACCCCTCCTCCAGGGGTTCCTTGTTGCCCTGTCCCAAGACATTCCCCAAGCCTTCCCACAGGTACCTATCAGTTACATGCATGCGCTCAGGGTCCACTGAGCACAGTGCTCGCACAGATGATGAGCTTCCTAATGGTAACACTGACAAAGTTTAACACCTAATTGGAGTGGAATAAATACTCTTTAAAGGAGTGTGTAATAAAGATGGTAAATGGTGTAAAAATGGTGCTAAACACACTACGAAGAGAAACATAGGAACCTACTGATCCTCTGTCAATTACCTTTAATTGTGTATCTTTTTAAAAGATTTATTTTATTACTTATTTGTAGACGTATGTCTCTCTGTGTGTGCTTGCATGTGTTTAGGGAGTCCAGAATTCTTGGCTGCCCTGGAACTGGAGTCAGGCACTTGTGAGAGAGGTCCCACATGGGAGCTGGGAACCAAACAAGTCCTTTGAAGATCAGTAAACACTCAAATTGCTGAGCTACTTCTCCAGCTCATTTTAAAGATATATATTAGTCTATATATCTTAATTTAAGAAACAAATAGAAATTTGGCCAAATTTTCTGAGCTGGAGAAACAGACATTGCTGTGAATCACTTAATTGTAAAGTGATGACGTGTTTTTGATTAGATAAGACAATTACCATAGAACCAAAACTTTTCAACTACCCATGAAGGGCTACCCATAAGTGACCATGTTGTACACTTATTAAAACTCCTTTGCTTATTTTTTTTTTACACTTCCATATTGAACCATTCCTCATGGGTCATTAAATTATCTAGAGTTCATTCAGAAATCTATCTGAAGATTTTTTGGGTAGCTGAAAAAGAAATCATTCCATCACAATCTGAAACCATTTCATTCCTCTAGTGTTTCAAGTTCAAAAGGAGAGAAATGAGGTTTCAGGAGGTGAAGCCACTTATCTACCCATGGAGGTACAGACAGCAGGTGTCCACAGTATAGGTTGAACTTGTATTATCATGATGCCAACTGATTTTTGACTCCTCCATAATGCCTCATCTACATTATTCCTCCTACACTGAAGCCCAGGTTGGCCCTCAAGGATTTGGGATATGGGCACAAATGATTCCAGATGTACTGTAGCAGTTTGAAGGAAAACAAAGTACTGGGCACTTGAAACAGGAAAGTTCTTCCCTGAGGAGGAAATGGAAACATGAACACGCAAGTGAGTGTTTTTAGAAGCTTATCTAGCTTTGAGCAAGAGTCGGGATTATGTGTGTCAGGCATATCTTGATTATGATGCCCAAGCCTTATTTCCATCCATCAAAGCTCATGAAAGAGTAGGCTATGTTCTAGGGTAATGTAAGAGTAGCTTTCTGAACTCACATTGGCCACACCTAAATTATGAAATGAAACCAGTAGAGAAAAGGAACTTTCCCAGCTTAGATAATAACAGAAGTTGGGAAAGGCCATGATTTCTGGAGGTGTACATAAGGCAAATCAACAAACCAAGAGGGAAGTGTTTCATTTTAGCATGCATCATGGCTTAATCATTACCCTCTGCTGCATCCTCCTATGCCATTTTCTGCTCTCTAGCAGTGATATATGGCTTAGCTATTGGACGCATATTCTGGCATGGGACTCATTTCCAGTCTTTTCCTCCTTCCTAATTAATATGACCATATCAGCAATTTTTCCCATGCCTTCATCTCTTCATTTGTGAAATGTAAGATAATGATGTTTGTCTTCAGAGAGACTATAAATTAGGCATATATCCAGCACTTAAATGGAGCAGTAACTCATTTCAAGTCAGGCACTGATACAAGTTTGCCTTCTCTAAAATGTTTGTTTTTATATCTCAACCTAAGTTCTGAGGAGATAATTGAGTAAAGAAAGAATGGGAGTTCTGGGAACTCAAACCATATGGTCTGCACATAAACAAGATATGTGTGTGTGACAGAGAAATCGCTGGTGCTTTTTCCATGGATTAAACACAGCATATTCCATTCTTGCCATGACAGACTAACTCTATGATTGCATGAGTCTTATATTTTTTAAGTGTGCATGGCCCTCTTATTTCACAGGTGGACTTGTACAAAGCAAGCTAGAGTTTGTATGTGTAATACTCCCCCACAGGCCCAGGCGTGGAAGACTTGATCACTAGTTCAGTGCTATTGGGAGTGGTGAAAAGTCCGCAGCCTTGAGAGTGTGACCAGAAGGTGATTATAAGACTCTAGTTTGCTCCTCTTTCTCTTCCAGGCCGTGAGCTGAAGGGTTCACAGGCCCCTGCAGTAATGAGGCCCTCACCATTGGCCCAATGGCACCAGTCCATTGGAGAATGAAACCTTGAAAACTGAGGGCCAAAATAAATAATTTCTTTGTATAACCTGATTGTGTCCGGCATTTGTTAAGGGGACAGAAATCTAACAGCAGGCTCTTAGGAGGACTGTAGCAGGGACCCGACCTCTTTGTTCCCATTGTTCATTCTTTCATGCCACTTTTGGCTTCCTCCCTTAAGAGCCTCTTGGTAAGCTGACAAGTAAGATGATAACAGACATGTCAACGTAATTTTAGAAACAAACTACAATTAGGACAAAGAAGGAACCAAAAAGCCCTATCTAATGGTTATAACTATGCATGAGTTCCCGAAAATCTATGAATATGGTTACCCAAACCTCTGCTTCCTGTCTCTAAAATGCTATTGTTTTACCTGTAAAGTATAAGTTAAAATCACCTTAGGAGGTCACTTTTGAAGATGGCTGTCCAGGGTCCTCATCGAGTTCCATAAAACTTCTTGAAAAAGAGAAGAAAAAAATCAGGAGCTTTGCAGACTTCTGGGATTGTTAGCAGGAGCACACTACACACTGTCTCATTTTCCCTTTTCTCACTTAATTTTCTTAAACTTAAAATTTTAATTTTGTTATTATTTTTTTTTTAAATTGAGTCTCACTTGTTCCCTAGGCTAGCCTCACACTTGTGATCCTCCAGCCTCAGCGTCTGAAGTCGTCTGGGCTACAGGCCTGTGCTGCTGTGCCTAGAACTAAGCTTTCTCATAGTGGAGGCATAATTTTCTGTTCCAGATTTTCCTATATGAAAGTGAAGTAAGACCCAAGATTTCTGCAATAGTTTATAGTTGTCAAAGTATTTAGACATGATTTTCTCTGAACTCAGTAACAAACCTATTAGCGGTCCTTTAATAAACAAAACTTCATACGTAGTATGCATTGTGTGTGTATATATATATATATATGTGTGTGTGTGTGTGTGTGTGTGTGTGCTTATATATATGTATATATAGTGCTAGCTATGCATATATGTGTGTTAGCTATGCATACACACATATGTATTATGCTAGCATTTGAAATGGGATCTAACATCCAGTATGAATTTGAGTGTATTTGTTTTACTAATTTTTATAATTCTTTTACAAGCAGAAAAAAAAAAAGAAGATGAAACCACCTTTTCACAACACATGGCTGATAGACTGCAAAGTTCAAAAGTGAATTCTCTAGAGTGATGACTACATGCCAGGCATACTGCCCTCTATAGTTCACAGGCTGGGTGGAAACCAGGGTAGTCTTTGAGAAGATGAAAGATGATGCAAACATGATTTTTGAATAGACTGTAGTCTAGTGGAGAACAGGGACACACTCAGGAACCAGTCTTTACAACAAACATGGGAATACTGTCATACAGATCCATATTGAGAATGACAGCTCCTGACAAGAAGCTGCAATTGGCTGTGAACGAAAACTCCCGAGAGGAGTCTGTGTCTGCAGAGACTGACTGGTTAATGAGAATTTCAGTAGTGTGGAGAGATTGGAATATTGCAGTTCCAGAGGCGAATTACTTTATCTTGAGCTAGTTCTAGCCTTCCAGAACAGCCATTACTTATTACCCCCCCACTCCCCCACCCCCACCCTGTATGTGAACTATTATCTTGTGACAGTATACTAAATCCTTTTGGAATCTGTTAATTTAGAAGACCACTAGTTTCTACCAATCCAAAAGCTAAGAATGTCATCAGATAGCATCTTGAGCCTACAGAATATTCTCCCATCTCAATGTAGCTGCCTCTGTGATATACACATCAACATTTTAAACTTGCCTTGATTTATGACTTTTTCTGCTCTGTAAAATTATAAAAACTTTATAAATCTGCCTTCAGGTTGGAACATGGAATTTGGGGTAACCTAAATCTGTGCTCCCAGGCCATGGTCACTCAAAATGGCTCCAGGATAAATGGTTCCTTACTCCCTTGAAGATGAAAGCAGCCACTTTGCACCCACAACACAAAGTATTGTGAATTCCAAATTGCAAAACAAAACAAAACAAAATCCTGAATTTTGTAGTTGTAGGAGTCTGTAACTTCTTCTCAGAGCTTGTTTTTGAGTTGGGCTTTAGAAAGTGATTCGGTTTGTTGAATAAATAAAGAATGGTAGATTTCAGGCTGAACTGATGGCAGAGAAAGGAAAAGCTCATGCAAAGACATTGAGGGTTCATACACATATTATCAGTGGTTCAGGCTTAGGTGTCTGCTGAGATGGATGCTGGAATTAACAGGAAAGACAAGGACATCACGAATAGACCTTCACCACCTCAGTAAACCTAGGCTTATGCTTCACTGGGTAGGCAATAGAAATTCATGGAAGAGTTTCAGGAATGATAATGAATGAGCAAATTTGTGGGTTTTTTATTTTTGATGATGACATGAGAAATTTGTGCAAATCTATATTTATCTATTCTTATTAAATATCTAAATTTATTAGCTATCTAATTTTACTGTCTAAATTATAGTTCACTTTTCCCCCAAACACTTTTCTATGGGCATTTTCCCCATTGCCTACTCTGGAAGTAATCTTTGATATTCAGATAGAATTTATCTTGCTAGGCATCTATAGTTGTCTTTGTATCAGTTCATGTTATCTAACCTTAAAGACTGAAGGTTTTTTTAAGAAGGAATTTATAGACTAGATCTTATTCTTCATAATTTTTATCCCAATTTTTTATATATTAAGACCCTAGAATTGATTTTTTGGAAGCCTCCTTCTATGAAGCATCTCCATAACACCTGTGGTGTTCTTCCTTTGTACAGGAACTCTGTGATATGTTTTGCATCCTGACTTCATCCTCAAGTACATCTGATCACTTGAACAAGGAATATTTTGTCTTTGAACAAAGACCCTTTAGGTTTCCATAGCTGATTTGAAATAGGTGGGTTTTAAGTATAGTCTCTAAGATCTTTTTTCTTAACTATTTCATCAAATGAATAATTATTTACTGATTGACACCATGGGAAATATGCTATGATATTATATTGTACTAGATAGACCTATCTGGTTTCTGTGTTCCATTAAGCTACATGAGTACAAAGAAATAATTTTAGACTGTTGTAAGTAATATTATACCATCTCAAAGCAAAGTGACAGAGAACAGTAATCAGGGAGGGAGAGAATAGTAATAAAAGAATAACAGAATTGTTTTCTAAGGAGGAGCTTGAAGATGAGCTATAGGAGCAAGCAGTGAGAAATACAAAGAGCATTTCAGGCAGAAGGGAACTCTAAGGTAGCACGCCTGACCTCATTAAAGGCTCTAGTATCACAAAGCAGGAATCTATTCTAAATATGATGAGAAGTATAGGCACAGAGTTAACATTTCTGAGCTCAGAACCTCTAAGTCCTTAATGGAACTGATAGTAAAGTTTCAGGGCAATACAATGAATAGCATGTTTGACATTTTGCATAAGGAGACTTTCCTAGTGAAGGAGAAGTAATTATTTTGCCTCCTTGCTTTGCTATGCTTTGTAGGTGACACTATTAGCTATTTTGTATTTTGCACATATCAAATGTTTTATTTACTATTTCTTATAACTTTTCTTTTTTCTATTAATAATCATGAGGAGGCAACATATGCAAATAAAATTTCCACAAAAGGAAATGAAACAATAAAATAGAATCATCTTTGAGTTTTAACAATGTGTGGAGAAGGCTCAGATACAGAATCCTATACAACGAAACATAGATTTTAAGCATATCAAAGTCTACAAGAAGAGAACCAACAACTCCTTTATAAAAATGGCTCTTCATTTGTTGTTGGTTGAGTTTAAGAAGCTGTGTATACTTACCCCAGGGAAACCTGAGAATTCATGTTTAAATAGAATATAAACAGAATTTCAACGTTCAGTAGAACTTTAGGGCCCTGCTCTGTAGCTGAACACCTGGCTATGTGTGCCTTTCATATCAGAATTACCCAGAAAGCTTGTTAAAACCTGCATTCTTAGCCTTGCCTTTGCGTGACTCTACTACGGAATGCAGGAAGACTAATTCAAACATAATTATCCGCTGTATTGTGAAACTGGTAGGTAATAAATCAGAGTTCTGTCAAACTATGCTTAGGTTTCTAGATGAAAACGAATTAAAAACAGTAACTTGCAGGGGTGCAGACTGAAAGAACTCTGAAGAATAAGGAGAGGTCATGTCAAATCCAAAATATGTCAAATCTAAGGAGTATTAAGAAGCAGGCTGAGAACATTAGAAAGACTGGGCTGGGTCATCCTCCATGGCAGTCAATGCACTGCTCCTCAGAGTTCTGCACATTATGTCTAAAGAGAGTTATCAGCTACTGCAGCCAGGCCTCTTGAGCTACACAAACTAGAAACCAAATGCAGGACTTATCGCATTCATTATCAAGACCACAACCTGTTTTCCATTTCTTTTTTTTTAATGCTGAACATGACTACTTTTTTATTATTTTATTTTATTTTTTTCGATTATCAGCTTGATACAGTACAAATTCTTTTTTAAAAAACATTTTTATTTTATAATTAACTTAATTTCACATACCAGCCACGGGTTCCTCCATCCACCCTCCTCCCACCACCCATTCCCACCTCCTTTTTGGAGCCTGGGGCCTATGCTGGGACACTTTGCTCAGCCTTGGTGTAGGGAGGAGGGGACTAGACCTGCCTCGCCTGAGTCTACCAGGCTGGGCTGACTCCCCAGGGGAGACCTTGCCTTGTTTTCCATTTTTTGGTTCTGCATCCTTTTGCCCTTCTATTATGACCCTGAGATTTTAAAATACTGTGTGAAGGATCTGGAGGGAGCACTCTCACTCTAGAATTCAGGGCAATTCATTCATATGTAAAATGTAACTTAAAGTAGTGTGGGACCCTGTTTTCAGGTTCCTCATGGCTTTACCCAGAAGGTCTGCATAGAGAGGATGATTAGGACCATGGGCCTAAGTGCAGGTGTCTGAGATGGTCTGCACTTGGCTGTGCTGGAGAAGGGTCTTTTGCTCCACCCTTTGGCCTCTCTATGAATACTCTGGGGCAGAGACAGTCAGGGCTCATTGGAATAGGTTCCAGGCCTTCTCGAGGCTGTCCTTTATTTTCTATCTGTTTATCTCCACAATCTAAATCCTTCTATCTAATATTTCCTGCTGCTTGCACTCAAGAAAACTCTGGGAAACTGTGAGGTTGGTGGGTAAACGCACCGGAAGGTAGGGAAACGTTTTGTTTTTTTCAAGGAAAAGTGAATGCATTTGTTCCATTTCATGAGTGTGCTCATTATCTACAGTGATGCTGGCAAGATCGGTTTATCTCAGTACTTACGATCCTCTGGACATGGAGCGAAGGATGAAATCCACTGCATTCTCAATGATCTCTGAACCCAGGAGGCTTAAGAATTTGGGGAACTCTGTCTCTGGCTTTTTACTGGAGTCATCTGGATTGTTATCTGATTTCTCATCTGGGTTCTCATCTTCCTTTGGGTTGTCATCTGAAAACAAAAAATAAACAGAAAAAATTCTCAGATGTGATTCTTAGTAACCAAAAAGGAAAATCCGTTTCTCATACAGGAACTGTTGAGCTCCTGGGTATCCACCTGGTACCAACTCATTAGTTACATCTTCCTGGCCCTGAGCAGCCTGTGCTTGTCTGGTTGAATCCTTTACAACATTATCTCATTATTTCTAAAAACAAATGAGTACCAGACATAAGTATTTTGGTAGACAATGGCTGTATTTGGTTACCAAGAAAACAAAACCCACAGAGGTACCTTTATTTTTCTTTTTGGAAAATTTTTTTATTCATCCCTTGGGAGTTTCAGGCAATGTATTTTAAGCGTCTTTACTCCAGCTCCCCTGCTTACCATCCTTTGCACTCTCCCACCCCTTCCCATCCAACATTGAGATTCTTTTTATTCTCTCCCCCATCAAGTCCAGTTTATGTTTCCTAGCTAGTTTTGGGACTTGGACTTTCCCTGGTGTCTGGTCAACCTATCAAGGTGAGGTGTTGAAGAAAACTGACTTCTCTCAGTAGCTGTCAGTTCCTCAGCCAGTGGTGTTTCGTGTCCAGCCTCCCCCTTCTAGGCTGAGATTTCATTTTGCTGGACTTGTGAAGGTCTTGTGCATGCTGTCACAATTGTTGTGGGTTTATATGTGTATCTGCCCTGGTGTGTCTGGAAAACAGTGTTTTCTTGATGTTATCAACCACTTCATGCTTTTATAATCTTTCCAAGCCCTTTTCCATGAAGATTCCCTGAGCCTTAGGGAAGAATGTTGTGATAGGAATGTTCTATTTGGGGCTGATCACTCCACAGTCTTTTGTTCTCTGCAGATTGACAAGTTGTGTGTGTGTGTGTGTGTGTGTGTGTGTGTGTGTGTGTGTGTAGTGGGGTGTGTCTCTATGTTAATTGTCATCTACTACAAGTAGAGGCTTCTCTGATGAGGACCGAGAGATGCTCTTATGTACAGGTACAACAATAAGCTGTTACATTACATTACACTAATGTTAGTGTCTGGTTCAAAATACAGAAAACCTAGCTGTCCACATAATATAGAACACTGGTGTTTCCACATGATTTTCGTGTCAATGGTAATATAAATAAGGAAGATAAAAATCTTCATAGTAGTTTTGTTGTGCAATACCGTTAACAGGTAGTTCACATGTACTGTCATTTTTTCCTCACAATTCTATGAAGTAAGAAAATTACTAAGCCAATCCAAAGTTGAAGAAATGGAGTTGGACAGAGATTTCAAAACTGTTTCAAAGAGAAAGAATTACCAGATGATAGAAATATAATCCAAGGTCATGTTTGTCTGATAACAAAATCTAGATGTTTACAGTATTCTGTGATAAAACTGTGTGCTCTTTGCACGAAAAGTATATAACCTGCACTTTATTTATGAGAATGAACAGAAGATAAATGATAAATAATTTCTGTCATTTTTATATCACCTATTAATTTTATGAACAATGATTTTACAAATGCTGTATAATTTTTCTCCCTGGGTAATGCTTTAAGATATGCAATTTTTAGCTTATTAGTTGGAGGAACTGATAATATTTGAGGGCCAGAAGGTTGTGCAAATCCAAGAGAAGAAAGCATGGGGACTATAGGACTCAGATGTGTCTCTTGGGTGTTAATGTTCTTCATTTTCATGAGATGAAAAGGTCTGGGAGAGTGATATAAACCACAGTGTCCTGCCTTCTCTCTGAATCTTGATAATAAGATGATGTAGGACCTTTATTTTTGCATTTTATTAACAGAACCATGATGTTGCCAGACTCTATAAAAAATACTGGATTCCTTATTCAATTTCAGTTGAACATCAGGTATTTTTTTAGGATAAAACTGATAAATGTGATATCTAGGACAGTATCAAAATAACAATAATTCATTGTTTATTTAAAAATTCAAATTTATAAGCAAGTCAATTTTAAGTATTTTATTGAGGCACCCAATAAGAATTATAGAAAAGTCCATTTAAGTGATGTTTAAGAATTGAAGAATTTATCTTCCTCCTGACTCTGGAAGTTTATGAAATTTAAGATCAATTTTTTTTTTTTTTTTTTTTTTTTGGTTTTCGAGACAGGGTTTCTCTGTGTAGTTTTGGTGCCTGTCCTGGATCTCACTCTGCAGACCAGACTTGCCTCAAACTCACAGAGATCCGCCTGACTCTGCCTCCTGAGTACTGGGATTGAAGGTGTGTGCCACACTGCCCAGCTTTTAAGATCAATATTAAACATTGTTTGCATAAAAATGATTTTTAAGATACACAGTTTTAACTCATAAAGTCTCAACTGCATAATACTATTTTCCCTAGACTCAGTTGAAGGTCATGTAGCCACATCTCTTTTAAGTCTACTAAATGATGAAAAAATGTGTGATCTATGTTATATTCTAAAATAGAAACTATTAGAAAAAATGGCATTAAATTCCATAAGCGTCTATTATTTACTATGTCATAATCAAATATTTGACAGGCTTTTTAGTCTGGGGTTTATAAAAGACAATAATCAAATATGCATCCACCCAACAGTTGAGTTTTTCATTTAGAACACATTTTGCTTTGGTTTGGTTTCTTTCAGAGTAGAGCATGTACAGAACCTTTTGACTTGAGTTAAACTAAAGATGGTGACCCTCACATACAAGTCTGTGTGACCAAAGTTTCCAGAATGGGCTTATTTTCATTGTGAGAAGAAACAGATGCCTTTGTGGAGTACCTACCATGCAGTGCTGGACTAGTACATCCTCACAGACCTGTATCCTTATCCAACTCAGTGATGGAGTCACAGTTTCTGGAGGAGAACACAGATGCTCTGGGGAATTTAACAATTCACCTAAAGTCACTCTGTAAAACTCAGCTGAGACAGTGTATGACGCTGAACTCTGTCTAACTCCAGGGAATATGGTCTTCAGGTTGTATTACACTACCCCCATAAGTTGGTTCTATGAGGATACCAGCCAAGTGTAGTGCAGAAAGTCCCTGAACAAAACAAGAGTCCTCTTTTGCAACATATAACAGTTTTATTCACTTTTAATGTAATACTAAATACTAGCTTTTCAATATCAGAGGAGCTGGGGATTAGAATATGGGAAATTGGGAATTAGTCTCAGTCTTTGGTCCATATGCATAGACATAGGTGTTAGTGAGTGGTATGCCCCATGGTTTAAGGTCCTACAATCTGATTTTGTTTTCATCAAAATATTAGTCACGTACTTTTGCAAATCATATTTAACCACTGTCTTTTAATTTTTTCATTGTGATATTGCTAGGATGAAAAGTATTGTATATATTGTTCATGTTTATAATGTGTATATAGATATATATCCGTAGTGTATATACTACTCATCACAGACTCAGACTCAGGATAAGCTCACAGTAATTGATTTGTGTTATTATTAGCATTATTATCAAAAACAGCAACACAATGATAAGTAGCTCCAGTTTCCTCTAGAATTTTAGAATATTATGAAAATTTAAATGCTATTGGAATATCCAGAAATCTCAAATCATCAAGCTCCATAATTAAATTATTTCCTCTTTTAGAATATAATAGAGTAGCCTTTATTTATATTAAGTGTTCAGCTGAATTTCTTAATTGAATGTGATTATAAAATTCTGAAAAACACAACATTTTAATTTATATAGATTTCTACATTTTACAAAGTTATTATAAAAGCATGTTCATTTTATCTTGTAACATCAATAGTTATTTAATTTTACAGTTAAGGAAATTAACACAAAACTGGATTATTTAACCAGTTCCACAGTTTGTGAGATGAATGAGAATTGTTTTTAGAATGCAAATCTCACCCTTCATATCCCTGTGTTGGTGACTTTAGAAGCAGAGTGGGCACAGACATTCCATGTCCCCTCTGGCATAGTTCTTTTGCATCTATCACCTGTGTTTTCTATTGGTGATGTCATCAGTCACCTGGGGCTGTGAGATCTGCTGGCTTACCAGCAAAGGGACATGTTGCTAAGTGGTTACCCACTCTGCTTTCTGTGTCACCCTGAACAGAGACAATTCAAGGATTCACAACTTCTGCAGACAAAATGATAAATTCCTAAGTGAGAATGCTGCATGCTGCTTGCAGTCCTGTGTGCTTGCATGGGATACAAAAGAAACACATGCTTAGTTGCAAGGGGAAGAACCTAGAAACTCAGATTTCACAGAGAACTTTCACTTGTGCCTATACTGAAAAACAAAACAAAGAAAAAAACTTCCTCCTGCAAATCTTGGATTTGCACCAATCAAAAAAAATGAGAGAATGGCATGTTTACTTAGTAGGGCTATTATGAGAGTCTATTACAATTATATATGATTCCAGAATAAGAAAGAAAACCATAAAGACTAAATAAGTTATGGAGGATCTGGGTAAATCATTTAAGGTATGTAAAGGATAAAACTTAGAATATATATATATTTAGTTGATGTCAAACTTCTATTTAAATTAGTGGGGTTCTCTTATTAATCTTCTTTCTTGGTATTAGTTACAAATACTGGCTTAAAAGAACAAAAACATATGTCTAATGAAGGTATATTTAAATGTTTTGTTTTTGGTTATATTTTATCTAAACATTACACAGTGATTAAAAATACCAAGCTGGTGTAACTGACCTTCTGCATGTTCAATGATGTAGTGTGGCAGTCATGTGGACAGAGGGATTTAAAGAGACAATATTTTGCCACTTGCCCTCCCAGGTCAACTAGGCCCCTGGCCCGTCTCTACAAATGACCTGTAGCTCTGATGAGCCACTTGTCTTCTTGTTCAAGGAGGCCATGGAGACAACATTGGATGGGCCTGTCTAGTCTACAAATAGAAGGATCAACACAGAAGGAAAAATGACCTTAGTGACTCCAAGTGAAGGCAAGGACAATCAAGGCCTTTGACTTTTTCTCAGAAGGTGGGACAAATGATAAAGGGGAGGCCAAGGGAGTCAGGGATTCCTTACCATCCTCAGAGACCCCTGAGGATCAGAACCTTGACTGGCCTTGAAACAAAATGAAAATGATTAATTTTGAATATCTGCTTGGTTTTATACACCTGACAAAAAAGTACGGCCAAAGTTAAGATGCATGTTGGTTGACTGTCCGTGGAATCATACTCAAGGACATTATGCTTTAGTGTACATGAGACACTACTTAGACAATCAGGTCTCTCTAATGTTTTTCTTCTTGGTAAGGAAAACGTCACCCAAGATAGAAGATATCAGGATGTTGGCTCAATTTTAACACTGAACTGTCTACTTGCAGCCAAGAGAGGTGGGATCACGCCACTGTTGTCTTCAACTGAAAAACATAGGATGATTAAGTGTCTTATTCTTCTCTCCTACTCTAGAAACTATCTGGGAGGAACTTCGCACTGTCCTTCTAGCCACTCAGTTAACTGAAGCACTTGAAAGCATATCCTGAGTTCATTACACTTTAGTCCAATCCAGAGGCCAAAAGAAAAAAGGGAAAACAAGGACCAGACCAATGGATGCATGCTCTGGTGAGACCATGAAGATATTATAATGGGTTTTGATTTGAGTATTTTAAAAGTATTGGCTTCTCCTGAGTCTTTGTCTAGGGTTTGCAATGCTAATTCCTCTTATCTTCTCCCTCACAGAGGTCTTTCTGGGCACTAATCAAGGACTTCCCTCTCTAAACATGGCTTTATTGAAATTACCAATGCTCGCTTGGGGTCTTTTAAATAGACCCACTGAAGTGGTATCCCAACTGCTATGCCCAACAACCTCTTTCAGCTGTAGGAAGCCAGATTGGTCATTGCCATACTTCCATAAAGCAATTTAGAGTTAGAGGTCTTCTATAGCATGAATAATGAGAACAGGGGGTAGAAACTGGCTAAGTAATTTAAGGTTAAACAACAACAAGAAACAACAACACAAAAACCTAGAAGTACTCAGTTCTTTCTCTGCTAAAAGCAAGCAATGTATTTGGGTTTCTTAGCAACCTCATCTTTAGCAGAGGCCAAAGATGCCAGAAGTGTTTGGGAGTCTCTGGTCCCTGATATGGTTCCCAATGATTCTTAGGTTAGTGGGGAGCGCTGGAGTAGCAATAAAGGTCCATTAATGTGAGACACTTTTGGTTAAGAGAACAGAATTTCTGGCCTGGGTGGAGACCCAACATTTCCACTTGTGCCACGTCAATCACCTGGCTAAGGGACCACCCCTTCCAAAGAAGGAAGGTGAGTTCACCTTAGTCCATGCCAAGAGATAGGATGATTAAGTGTCTTATTTTTCTCTCCTACTCTCCTACACTTTAATGACACTGTACTTTTTCCTCCCAGAATTCCCACCCCCAGCAGGTTACAGGCAGGCAGCTTGGTGAGTCGGCCAGTTTGTCTGAAGTACTCAGGAAGTGTAACTTTTCATCTTCTTCTGTCTCTATATTAAGCATGCACCTTTCTGTGTCTTTGGGTTTTTCTGATACTTTGGGCCTTCTTAACTTCTCTCCTTAAGATGCCTCCCTGCACTGTGTCTGCCAGTCACCACGAGTCTGATCTCCACACTGGTAACATAAATAGCATTACTTATTTTTCCTTACCTAAGATATACAAACTGAGATATTTATACACACACACACACACACACACACACACACACACACACACACACACACACCACACCACACCACACATATATATGCTGAGATATACAAACTACCTGGGATGTTTTTCTTTTAAACTCTAATAAAACTGTCCTCAAACTTAAAAATAATTTATATATAATATCAATAACAGTTAATATTTATTTAGTGATTTTTATTGAGCAGGCACTATTCCAGACTGTTGCCTCTTTTGTTTAAATTTCATGATACATTTGTGAGACTGTTAGTAATTAATGTCCCTTATTTGTATCACATCTAGAGGTTTCAAATGTCATGCCCAAATATACATTTCTCTTTAGTGGTAGAACCACGATAGGGTGTTATTGAAAATTATATCTTCATCATCATTAAACATTATTAGTTATAATCATCAAATCACCCCACTGACACCTCTCAGTGAATTTATAATGTAATAGTGTCACTTCATCATTTAAGAATATAAGAAAGGATTCATTCCAAACCTCATAATTTACTGAGGATGCAGGATACAACCCAAATCAATCTTAATACAACTGCTCTTTGTATTAGATGTGTTTCCAACCTCCCTGCCAAATGTTCTTTCTGCAATGCCAAAATGCCCCTCCCCTTCATATTCTGTGCCAGCTTCCACCCATTACTGCTAACTATGGCAAAGTTTCTGGGCTGTGATCCGAAACACTTACCTGCCTGGCTTGTCAGGATTAGGGCACACAGTCCCAGGACAACCATCAGCCGAAGAGCCGAGACAGCCATTCCTGCTGACCTGGGTATTGGTGCAGATAAATTGCTTAGATGCACCTGAATCTTTGCTCCATTTATAGGACAGTTGTGGTGACGTCATCTGCTGTGGAATTTAGGCTGTTGCACAAGATGTCTGAACAGCTTGCTCTGAGATCTCCAACAATAGGCTCTGCCCTATCTTTCAAAATCAGAGCAATTTCTTTCTTTTTTTAAAAATTTTCAATAGCTTACAAAGAATTGGGTTTCATTTAGGCATTTTTCAAACAAAATTTGCCTTCGTCATTTCTTTTGACCTCTTCTCTATGCCTCCATTCTCCCTTGTTCTAGCCTAATAGCCTTCTATCAATTTTCAGGTCATATGTGACTTTTGCCTTTATCCCACTTTCTTGTTACTTTTTGTTTCTTTCTCAGGGCTCCTGTCTAGTTTCATAGTTTACCCCCCCCTCCCCACAACTGCTGCTTTACATTTATGTAAGCATTAAAAGTTTAGATTTTCTTATGAGACAGAACATGTGAATTTTGTCTTTCTGAGACTAGAGTACCTTATTGATATAATATTCTCCTTCCACCATCCAGAAACCTCACAATTTCATTTTTTTCTTAGCAGGCTACATTTCAATATTCAGGCTTCTGTGGATGGACATCTGTTTCCTAGATATTGTGAATAGTGCAGCAGCAGTGAACAAGAATGTACACATACTTCTGTGGTAGCATATATAGTCTTTTGAGTATATACCCAAGAATAGTACAGCTAGGCCATACAGTAGTTCTACTTTGAATTATTTCGAAGGAACCTCCATATTGGCTGCATTAGTTTACACTCCCACCAACAGTGAGTAAAGGTTTCCTCTTTCTCCATATTCTTATTGATCTTTGCTGTCAGTTGTTGTCCTGATCATAGCGAAATTGATTGGGGTGAGATGGAATATCAAAGATATTTTAATTTATATTGCCTTATTGTTAAGAGCATTGAACATTTGAAATATGTATTTGTTGGCTTTTGTGTTTCATCTTTTCAGGACTGTCTGTTCATCAGCACACTTACTAAATGACAGTTTGTGGTTCAGGTGTTTAATTTTTGCTATTCTTTATTTGTTCTGGACACCAGTTTCATCTCTGAGATGTCGCTGGTAAAATGGTTGACCGTAGTTTCCTTGCTGTGCAGAAACATTTTAATCTCACCTAGTCCCATTGTCGATACTTAGGGATATTTTCTATGCTATTGAAGTCTAGTTCAGAAAGTTCTTGCCTGTATCTATAACTTCAAGTATGTTCCCTGTATTTTCGGCTGGGAGCATCAGCATTTGGGGTTTTAAATTCATGTACTTGATCCATTTTAATTGATTTTTTTTTTTTGTACAGGGTGAGTGATGTGGATCTAAGTTTGTAGATAGCTGGTTTTCCCAGTACTGTTTGTTGAACAGATGCTAAAGATACGACTCGGTTCCCTCCAAAATTCCAATGAGTTTCCTCACAGAACTAGACGAAAACAATGCAAAAATTTATTTGGAAATAGAAAAGACCATGCAAAGACAGTGTATTTTAAATTTATTGTTTATTTTTTAAGTAATGATTTTATTTATTTGAGAATGTCATATGATATATTTTGATCACATTCTTTCCCCCCATCCAAACTGCTCTCAGATCCTCCCCCACATCCATACCCATCCAATTTCATTGTCTTTCTCCTTCTTGAATAAAGAGAAACAATGAGATAAAAAAAGCATGATGTCCAATTTTTGCTGGCTGATTGCTCCTGAGCAAGGAGGTTGGCCCTGGAGTGTGGTTGATATACCCACTGTCACTCTACTGAAGAAAACGAATTTTCCCATTCCCAGAAGCTATCAATTACAAACAGCTTCTATTAAGAAGAATGAATATTGCTGTAATTATCACAGTATCAGACTTCAAGTTATATTAAATAGCTGATGAATTCAGCCTCCTACTGGCACAAAAATAAACATATAGATCAATATCTCTCTCCATGCTTGGAGTTGACTTCTTATTCACAGGTGGTCATGCCTTCTCAGATCATGTTCCTTTGCTCATACTCTTTCTTGTTGATGGGATAACTTCTCCATCTTCTCTCCCTGGGGCATTGCAATTTATTCTGCAAGCTTAAGTCTGAATGCCCACATTCTATGTAATTGCTATGATATCTATCGTACCTTACTTCTGCTGGAACTTCTTCCTTCATTAATTGCCCTTAGAACCCTTAATTTCATTGCCCAAGAGTTAATGACTTTAATTAATTATCTTCCTTCATTCCATGGATTGATCTATCTATCTAATCTATCTATCTATCTATCTATCTATCTATCTATCTATCTATCTATCTATCTAATCTGTTATCTATCTTCTGTCTTTTTCTAATTATCTATCTACAAATAAAATTTTCAATAAAAATAAATACATACTGTCAAAGTTTTACAATCCATTTCTTCCAAAGACCTGACATTGATCTCCTTGAAGAAAGGTTGGTCTTCAGAAAGTCTCACTCATCAGAAAATTCATCAAGCTAGTTTTATGCCATCTGGTACACTGCTTATGATGTGGTACTGTGCTTGTATTGTGGGTCATTGGAGAAAAGACAGTCCAGTGACTACCTTTTGAATAGTCCATAAACCATGTCATGGATTCTGGCATGTTGCTGTTTGCTGGAAAAACAATAATTTTTGAGAGCATTCCAGAAGGGCATGTTTTTCTAATGCACTACAGGAAAGCAAAAGCTTTAGACAGTTTGATTTATGATAGAATTCTGCTGGCTTCTTGGGAGTTCAATGACATGGATCAGGCAAAAACCCTGAGTGGACTGCTTTTATTGGTTGGGTAGCAAGAAAATGGCATTGTCATAAGTATCACATTGCTAGCACCATGTCTATGTGTAGAAGATAACTAATAAATATGTAATGAATAAATGAAGTAGTGGATATTTTTTTTTTTTTTTTGTTTCTTTTTTTTTTTTTTTTTTTTTTTTTTTTTAATTTATTTTGCAATACAATTCAGTTCTACATATCAGTCACGGATTCCCTTGTTCTCCCCCCTCCCGTCCCCCTCACCTTCCCCCCAACGCCCCCCCCCCCCCATTCCCATCTCCTCCAGGGCAAAGCCTTCCCCACAGACTGAGGTCAATCTGGTAGACTCAGTCCAGGTAGGTCTAGTCCCCTCCTCCCAGGCCGAGGCAAACAATCCTGCATAGGCCCCAGGTTTCAAACAGCCAACTCATGCAATGAGCACAAGATCTGGTCCCACTGCCTGGATGCCTCCCAAACAGATCAAGCCAATCAACTGTCTCACCCATTCGGAGGGCCTGATCCAGTGTGGACCCCTCAGCCATTGGTTCATAGTTCATGTGTTTCCATTCATTTGGCTATTTGTCCCTGTGCTTTATCCAACCTTGGTCTCAACAATTCTCGCTCATATAAACCCTCCTCATTCTCGTTAATTGGACTCCCAGAGATCCACCCAGGGCCTAGTCATGGATCTCTGCATCCAGATCCCTCAGTAGTTGGATGAGGTTTCTAGCACAACAATTAGGGTGTTTGGCCATCCCATCACCAGAGTAGGTCAGTTCGGGCTGTCTCTCGACCATTGCCAGCAGTCTGTTGTGTGGGTATCTTTGTGGATTTCTGTGGGCCTCTCTAGCACTTTGTTTCTTCCTGTTCTCATGTGGTCTTCATTTACCATGGTCTCCTATTCCTTGTTCTCCCTCTCTGTTGTTGATCCAGCTGGGATCTCCCGCTCCCCCAAGCTCTCTTTCCCTCGACCCTCACCCTTCATTATCCCCACTCATGTCCAGGCTGTTCATGTAGATCTCATTCCATTTCTCTGTCATTGGGCGATCCCTGTGTCTTTCTTGTGGTCCTGTTTTCCGGGTAGCCTCCCTGGTGATGTGAGTAGCAGACAATTCATCCTTGTTTCATGTCTAGTATCCTGCTATGAGTGAGTACATACCATGTTTGTCTTTCTGAGTCTGGGTTACCTCACTCAGGATGATTTTTTCTAGATCCATCCATTTGTCTGCAAACCTCATGATGCCATTGTTTTTTTCTGCTGAGTAGTATTCCATTGTGTATATGTACCACATTTTGTTTATCCATTCTTCAGTTGAAGGGCATCTGGGTTGTTTCCATGTTCTGGCTATTACAAACAATGCTGATATGAACATAGCTGAACAAGTGCTCTTATGGTGTGGTTGAGCATTTCTTGGGTATATGCCCAAGAGTGGTATAGCTGGATCTTGGGGGAGATTGATTCCCAATTTTCTAAGAAAGCGCCATATTGATTTCCAAAGTGGTTGTACAAGCTTGCATTCCCACCAGCAGTGGAGGAGAGTTCCCCTAGCTCCACATCCTCTCCAGCATAAGGTGTCTTCAGTGTTTTTGATCTTAGCCATTCTGACAGGCGTAAGGTGGTATCTCAGAGTTGTTTTGATTTGCATTTCCCTGATGATTAGGGATGTTGAGCAATTCCTTAAATGTCTTTCGGCCATTTGAGTTTCCTCTGTTGAGAATTCTCTGTTTAGTTCTATAGCCCATTTCTTAATTGGACTGTTGGGCATTTTGATGTCTAATTTCTTGAGTTCCTTATATATTCTGGATATCAGTCCTCTGTCAGATGTGGGGTTGGTGAAGATCTTTTCCCATTCTGTAGGCTGTCGCTTTGCCTTGTTGACCGTATCCTTTGCTCTACAAAAGCTTCTCAGTTTCAAAAGGTCCCATTGATTGATTGTTTCTCTCAGAGTCTGTGCTACTGGTGTTCTATTTAGGAAGTAGTCTCCAATGCCAATTCGTTCAAGACTACTTCCTACTTTCTCTTCTAGCAGGTTCAGAGTAGCTGGATTTATGTTGAGGTCCTTGATCCACTTGGACTTAAGTTTTGTGCACGGTGATAGATATGGATCTATTTGCAGCCTTCTACATGTTGATATCCAGTTTTGCCAGCACCATTTGTTGAAGATGCTTTCTTTTTTCCATTGTGCACTTTTGGCTTCTTTGTCAAAAATTATATGTTCATAGGTGTGC